CGTGATCGAGGTCCCGAATCCAATAGATTGGAACATGGATTATTTCTACTTGCAGTTTGCCCGGTTCGCCTATGCGTTCGACTACTTCGACGCTGGCCAGACGTACGTCCGCACCCTCAAGCCGCAGTGGCACATCCTGAACTTGCTCATCACCCGCTCCATCGTCCCCAACGTCACCGGCTCGCACAAGATTCCGAAGCGGGTGCTCTATGCTATGTTCTCGATGCGGGACCCGAATCACATGTTGCATTTGGGCTCCTTCGTGGCCACCACCTTCTCTCGATGCCACGGGAAGCCCAACCATCTCTACTGTGGTCCCCTGATCACCCGTCTAGCGCGCCATTTCAACATCAGCTTCCAGGGGCTCACAGATTCTTCTGCACAGGGCGGCTCCACCCCCCTCAGCCGGGACGTGCTCCATAATGCACTCCTCCTGACCAGTGATGGCACCCGCACCTGGGTGGATGGGCTATCTCTGCCTCCTGATGAGGATGAGGATCTCGATGACGATGAGGAGGACGCTGACTATTCTGGCGCGGAGGAGGATGATGAGGATGATGATGATGATGATGATGGCGGGGCCATGGATTCCGATGAGCCGGAGCCCTCGATCTCTCCACCAGGGGACCTTCGGCCACGACGGAGACAGGAGCGAGGTGAGTCCTCCTCCGGTCCTTCTGGTCCGTCAGTGGCTTCTGGCCCGTCGATGGACTTCTTCACGGAGCAGTTCCAGCAGATGGGGCTCCAGTTCCAGCAGCTCGGTCTTCAGAACTAGCAGCTCATGGACCATCAGGTCCAGTTCCACCAGCAGTATTCGGCCCACCAGGCCGCGTACTAGTCCAGGCTGACGGTTATTGACGATCGCCTCGGCCGCTTAGAGACCCATATGGGAGTCACGGGTGCTCTCATCGAGCGGGAGAGAGATCGAGGCCGCCGATTGATGGAGTATTCGGAGCACCTGCTCCAGGCTTGCCACCCCCTAGAGGAGCACCACTGGACCACCCGGTGGGATCATTCACCACCACCACCACCACCGGATGATGGAGATGACGACCTTATGAACCAGATCGACTTCACCGGTCTAGGAGGCGGCTCCTAGTGCCATGTTTTGAGTGTGTTTGTTTTTGTTAGTGTGCAAACGGTCTTGTGTTGGTTTGGTTTCTTTCTTTTTATGTTGGATTCTGTACTATTGGGCTGACCATTAGACCTGACGTATTGTGTTGAGCTCTTTGGTTTCCTTTTAGCTGTGCTTGTCTTGACTGGTCCTCTATCCAGTCCGCTTCACTCCGACTGGTCCGTTTCTAGTCCCCTACAGTCCGTGCATACCGGTAACATCGTTCCCCTTTTCCTTCCCTCTTCTCCATTGAGGGCAATGTCGATCTTAAGTGTGGGGGGGTGTTTATCTTTTGACTGCATTAGATCTGTTTGTGTGCTTGGAGCCTAGTCCACTGTCCAAATTTTTAAATTTGAGGGCTCCAAGTACATGTTCCTTGCAATTGCCTGCTCAGTATGCTTTGAATTGACAGTCTTTATAGTAATATGCAACCTAGGGAGGTAGTGTAGCACTATGGAGGATGTTGATACATTTAAGAAGTCTCAGTTCTTCTTCATATTGTGTTGGTTGATTGAGTGAATTAGTGATCTTAGGACCCTTGAATTGTGTGGTGTTGGATTCTCTACCTGTCATGGACTCTTGTATCATGTTTTGAAAATAACAGGTGCTCGGAAATGTGCTTTAAAATAACGTCTCCCGTGCGAATAGGGCGAAAGTGTGTAAGGGGAGACGGGAATCCGTTCCCAATTTCCACCTACTACCTCCAGCCCCCTTACATGTCTTTCCCCCGCACGAGGCTCGAGACATCCGCTCCTGGCATGGCCGGTAAGAGCAGGTTGGGACCCTCGAAAGAAAAAGAAAAGAGAAAATAACAGAAAACAAGCAAAACAGGAAGAAAAGGGGTTCCAACCATCCTTAAGAAGAAAATAGAGCACCTTGAATAATGTGAGTCCATGATCCTTTGTTTTTGAGAATCTCTTCATCCACGATTCATTTGTCCTCTATTCACTATTTGCCATGATGCCGACTCGATACTAGTGTTCTCGCCGTAGAAGCTATGAGATGACTTGTGCGTCGGTTGACCTCGTAAGCTGCTAAATGATCTAGGAAGTCCTCTACCTACGATCTGGGTTGTTTGTTGCTATAGAGGTCTGGAGAGTTGCATTGGTTTGAGTTAGGTTTGCTTGGGGACAAGCAAACGGTTAAGTGTGGGGGAGTTTGATAGACCAATAATTACACGTATTTTCACCCCTATTCTTGAGCCGTTTGGAAGGTTGATTCTCGGGTTTTAAGTCGATTTCACGCGAGGCTGTGTGTTTATGTCATATTTCATGACCCGGCGTTGGAATCGAGGCGAAGGAACGAGATTCGGGTCGAAAGGAGCAAGTGAGGCTTGAAGCGGGCTGAAGGAAGAAAATACCCGGCCATAACCACAAATACCCGGCCGGGTATTATTCTGAGGAGACCGGGGAATTCCCTTTTTGGCATCTGAGAAACAGAAGGGGTCCCGGTCGTGAGGCTAAAATCACCGGCCGGGGATTATTGGAGCAGACCGGGGATTTTCCCCTGGCATGAAACGTGCGTTTTGATAATACCCGGTCGAGACCCAAAATACCCGACCGGGTATCGCGACAGGCAGCTGTTTTAAGGGAAAAGAGGGCTGAAAATCAAGGGATTCGAGTTTTAGAGAGAGAGATCAGTTCCTAGAGAGAGAAAGCGACGAACAAGAGTCTCCAAGTGCCCTAGCTTGATCTTCATCACCATTGGAGGCCAGTTTGAGCTTGGAGAAGTGCCGATCAACGTCCAGAAGCAGGAATCCATCCTTCATAGTATGAATTCCGCGTCTGATTCTGCTTTTGCTTCTTTCTCCATGGAGTAGTTCTCCCATTCATCTGGGTATGGAGAACCCTAGACTTGTATGTTAGGCTTTGATTGTATGAACCCAAGTATGGATTCTCTGAGTTGATTATATTCGATTGAGGTTTGAATGATTGAATGACTTGAATCCTGATCAAATTCCTGTTGTTTCTGCTTTGACCTAGAATGAGAATATCTGCCTAGGTTGATAGAGCATCCTTGATTGAAGGTAGGGAGTTGGTGACTTTAGTCGAGGAGCCAACTCACTATTCTGTACCGGATTTACTTCGGTAGTGGAGGTTTTGTTTGTTAAGGCCTCAATCTGTTTACTCCGGTGGAGGTTAGTCGCCCGCTAGAGACTCAGATTGAGAGGGTCTGAAGACCTTTAGTCGAGACTTCAGGCTGTTTAAGAACCTTCCGCAGTATAACTATCACAGAAACTGAACTTGGTAATTACAATCCGGCTTAACTGCAGTCTAGGGGGAACCATATCCGGGTGACCTCTCTTAACCTGAATACAACAGTTTACTTGCTTTGTTAGTTTGATAGTTTAGACTTGCATTCCAGTTTCATTGCTAGATAACAAGAATTCACTGAGTAGTCATCAAATCTAGGACCCGGGTTGATAATTAAACCTAAACCGCTATACTACGCTTTAGGAAGTGGTTACACTTGGCCAATTCCTGGAGTGACAGTAGAAGTGAGTCATAGTGCTAGCCCCCCTTTCTTGCTGCCTATTTTGTTTTAGTTGTAGTTGATCTTCATAGACTTCCTGGGGAGACAAGGGCTTTGATCACATTTATCCGTGCAGATTATTGTCACTGGTTATCATGTGTCAACAACTACCCCATCCTAGGCCAAGTTTAACCTAAAATGGCATTGTCGTATAGTGGTAATCAATGTCGTATTCACTCGTGTCCTGGTACCCTAACCTACTTCCCACGTTGTTATCTAGCCGATCGGTTTAAGGGTATGTGTTGGAGGATATGAGGGACCTAACTAGTCTAGAGATCAAATAAAGATAAAAGCAGGTACATCAGGAAACTATCCCTCACCCTAGCCTAGGACTACTATGCAATGTCTAGATACTTAGGGTTTGTCAAATGTGGTGAGTGAGCTATTTTCCGTGGGCTTTCGTGGTTATCCACACGCCTCCGAGTACACCTCTCCTAAACCCATGTAAGTCACCTCGATCTAGGCTATCGTATCTAGGGGCATTAAGCTCATAGCTTCTTTCAATGTGTGCTACCCACCGTCCACACTTAAGTTTCATCCCAGGTTCTATCTAGGAAGGCATTCCTATGACATGGGTTCGGTCGCCTCTTCTACTTCCTTCCGCTTCTCTATCTCTCTAAAACCAGAAATTTTATCTTAAAATCAACTCTCTTGAAAGGGGGAAAGGAGTCTTCTATTTATAGGTGTCAGAGAACGGAGAAGTTCGCCTGCAGGCAGGGCAGTGATCGCGGGCCCAATCTTCTTAATAGAGGTCGCGATCTTGCAATGCTTCCGTTTCGGCCATCATGTACGAGGAGTTCGCGGGCTGACTTCCTAGTCACGATTCATGAGACGCGGCCGCGAACTTCCTCACAGCCAGTTTGTACTGTGGCCATATTCTGCCCGGAGAAACTCTCCGTTTGACCAACAAATAAGAAATTTGTACCAAATCCTCTATACTAGGGTTTTTTTATACCAAATCTATCATACAAATCCATATAGCAAACCACCCCTCAAATTAAGCAATAACGCTAGTGGTTTCTACAATTGATTTACATATATATCCATATTAGCACAACACTACATCTGCATTTGTTTTCCCTTTTTTTTTTTTTTTTTTCTAAATGCACACACATCTTACGCCACACTTGGACTTGTTTACAAAATAATTAATTACACGATGCATCTCTCCAGAAAGAAAGAAGAAACCTTAGGAAAACCATCACAAGTTATTTAAAATTGTGACAAAGCAAAGAAAATAGCTTTAGAAAAAATTCATGAACAAGATCTCAAGAGAACCCCACAAATTTAATTAAAAGGAAATTAAACAACTATCTATATATATTAGAGATGTAAGTCGATGATGGGTAAGAGGTCAGAGCATCCAGGTGCCTGGAATAAACCCATCATTATTGGCAGTGGAAGCGACCGCTTGGTTCACCTCATCATTGTACCTGTACAGCCATGCAAAATGAAAGAATTAAAACAAGTAATTATGGGGTTAATGGCCAGTTAATTACAAGTAATGCATTTGATTAACGACATGCATTATACGTATATACTTACCCATTGTGGAGAGTGGGAGCTAGGTTATGGAAGAAGGTTTGAGAAGATGGATGCTGATGGTGAGAGGGAAACAGGTTGCTGTAAGGAATATTAATGTTGTGGTTGTTCCCTCCACCACCTTCCCACGTCACCCGCAGAGGGGCCATTTGTACACAACTGCTTTCCTCCAACTGAGCATTGCGTATTATTCAAAGTGGAAAATCAGGTCATGATGAATATTATGGGTACTACATGGCAACTAAGTAATGAATGAATCTAGGTATAGGTTACCTTCCTTCTCAGCGATTTGTTGGTTTCAAGCAGAGCTTGTTCCTGTGAAGAAAAAAAAATATATATATATATATAGGATTTTAGCAGCATGAGTACATTAATGATAATCCAATTATTGGTAGTGTTTAAACTAGTTCGGAAAATTGTTCACAGAATGCTAGGGATGGCAACCCTGCCCGGCCCGCCGGGTATCCATCCGTAACCCGCCCGGACAGAGGTCAAAAAATCCGTCCATCATGGGTAAAGCACGGATCCGGGTATACCCGAAACTCGATAGTAGTGGGCAACGGGTGGGGATGGATCTCGTAGTATCCGCCCCGTCCCCGCCCGTCCCCAAAACGATGACGTTTTCATTCAAGCAACTTATCCCATTTAAAAACCCTCCCAACCAAACTTCCATTCACACGCGCAGAAGAAAGCAACATTGATCACTGTTTCACCACAATCCCTAATCACCCATCGCCCAATTCCACCGCCAACGAAAAATCCCCTCCTCCTTCTCCTCAATGTAGAGATCGTTGGCCATCGACTTTGCCCTGATCATCGGCCATCAAGAAGACCTGTGTATTCGGGGGCGACGGGAAACGTAAGTTCTCTGTACGTCGACTACAACAAACTGCACTTTCTGCGACGAATTCTATTGCGGCGGAAACAAATTCGTCGCAAAAAGTGTACAATTTGCGACGAATTATATTGTTTCGTCGCAAATCAGGTCAATATTCAACCGTAAATGGGCAGAGGCTTTTCCGACGAATATTTAATTTTTCGCGACGAATATTTAATGTTTCGTAACCTTTGCGACGAGTTACTGTCGTCGCAGAATGTTTTGAAACCTTTTGCGACGATTATCCTTCGTCGCGGAAAATTTCATACCCTTTTGCGACGAGTTGCTTTCGTCGCGGACTGTCTGGAAACATTTGGAGATGACTGACTTTCGTCGCAGAATGTGCTGAGATATTTTCCGACGATATTGTTTTGTCGCAGAATTTTTAGAGACCTTTTGCGACGATTCTTAGTCGTCGCAGCTTGAAAACTTTTGTAACGTTCGTTTTTTGTCGGAAAACGTTTTTCACTTTTGCGATCCTCTGTCATCTCAGACTTTCTGAATTTTTTGTATTAGTAGAACAAAATTAATCTAACATAAAAATTCTTTTATTTTTAAAATTTCGTAATAAGAATATTTAAAAAAGTACATATATTTATAAATTAACTTCTTATAAAGATTTTGTGATTGCTAACAATGCCAAACAAATTGCACATCCCAGATGGTCTAAGTGGTACATAAATTACCATTGTAGTGGTAGGTCTCGGTTTCGAGACTTGTCCAAGGCTTTAATTTTTTTTTTCTAAGAAGAGAGGGACGGGGTATTTTTGAAAATTCAGCAAAACACGGTGGCACTTATCTGTAATTATGCAAAACACGGTGACCTTCTATATAAATCGATTCAATGAGCCAAAGAAAACCCTAGCCGCCTTTGGTTCCTTTAACCTCTTCTCCTCTAGATATGAAGAATCAAAAAGATCCAGATCTACTCTTTTCCGACTCTTCCTCCGCCATATTCCTCTCATTGGGTCTCTTCTCTTCTATTTTAATCAGATTTCCTCTCTCTCCTTTCGATCTGCCCTTTCGATCTACTCTATCTCTCTTAGCAATCTCCTCTAATCGCGACCTCATCACGGCGACAGACGAAACTCATCATTCCATCTTTTGATTTTGGATTTTGGTCGTGGTATAGAGAAGTGCCGGAAGGAAGAAGCAGGCTGCTGGTGGTGGCTTTGAGTTTCGGTGACAGTGACGATAATAATGCAAGCGGCAGAATCGGTGAGATTGTGTTTTTTTTTTGAATTTTTCCTCGGTTTTTTGTTTTCCTATAGATTCTGACTTGGTTCTTATTGCAGGTTTGGTATTAAAGAAGCTTGCTGCTATTCGCTAATCCATTGGTTAGAATTAGGGGGTTTTAAATGGCCAATCTGGATTGTGGATGTAGATCTAAACTAGTTGTGTGGTTATCTTGGATGAGATAAGGTTTTGGGGTTGACGAGATGACGATGTGATTTTGGACCAGAAAATAAATTGGGAGCAACTACAAAAATGATAAAAAAATTTAATTATGATAAATATACTAAATTAAATAGTGAATTTATCCAAAAATAGTCACCGCTAAAGATATTTTCACTTTCTGCGACGAATTTTGTTTGTCGCGAAACTAGCATTTCGGCGACGGAGGAGCTACTATCGTCGCAAATAATTGTTTTCGGCTACGGCATGTACGTCGCCAAAGAGTAGATCCTTTAGCGACGAAATGAGTTTTTTGCGACGGATCCTGCTAATTCCGTCGCAAAACTTTTTGCGACGCTGTATTGGCGATGAAAATGAGTTTCTTTTTGCGACGGCCAAAATCGTCGCGGAAACCTTTCTACGACGAATTTGTGGTTTTCTGCGACGAATTTTTTCGTCGCAAAAAGTTAAGTTTCTTGTAGTGGTCTTCGGTAGCAGTTTTCCGCAAGGTTCTCCCCAACTTCCTCTCAATAGTGGACACTAGCCGTGGGGATCCGTGGGTTCCCCGAACCCGTCGACGGACGGTGACGGTAGCTAGGCTATCCCCGTTTAGTCGCCGGGGACGGGGATGGGGAAAACCGTCAAGGTTGACGGGCGGGAATCGGGAGGCTTGTACCCGCCCCCGATCCGCCCCGTTGCCAAATGCAAATGGATGTTAAAAAAAAAAGTTTGAAGTGAAATTTACGGTATCTAATATCTATAAATAATTTGCTACTAAGAACATGACACAGAGACAGAGTAGTAGCGTGGGTATCGGAAATTCGACTTGGAATTGAAAAAAAAAAAAAACTGAATTTTTTTTGTTTCACTACGTACCTTGTTGTGAAGATCGGTAAGCTGGTCAAGCATCATTTGTGTCTAGAAAACCCAAAGAAAAAGACAAGCCACCAGAAGCGTCAGAGAGAACTATATACATATACATTAGGGGTGTAAATTTGACCCTTAAAAGTCACTGATCTGCCCCGTCACTTGGGGTCAGGATGGGTCAGTTTGTCTACAGGGTCAGTTTGGTGTCGGGTCAGCTTAGGATTGGATCAGGGTCAGATGATAGGGTCAATTTCGGGTCAGGTCACTTTTTGACCGTATGACCTTAGCATCATACAAACACGTTGGACCTATTTGTAAAATTTTAAAAGTTTAGGTACTAAATTGTAAAAAGAAAAAATTTTGGGTACCAAAACATCATTTTACCATCAAATTTTTGGGACTTTTTTGTAAAAAAAAATTATGTACTATAATGTAAGAAAAAATAAATTTGAGTACCAAATTGTAATTTTTAGAAAAATATTGTATTTATTAGGGTCGACCCACTGACCCGACTCTTCCTGACCCGCCTCGACCCTAAAATGTCAGACAGGGTCATGAAAGAAATAGGGTCGGGGCGGATCAGTTATACATTTTGACCCTTTAAAGGCAGGTCAGGACAGAATCAGGACAGGATCGGGCCAATTTTCAGACCTATATGTGGAGAATGGAATTGGTGATTTGTATTGACTAGAATTGGGAATTAAATACCCAAGATACAACCACACGTAGCTATGAATTAGGAGCCACTAAACAACTATAACAACCCACTAAATACCAATAATGAAATAATTAATTGTTATGCTTATCACGCCCCAGCAAGATGGAGACGGGTACGATGCCAATCTTGGACCGAAGCAGGTGAAACCGGGAGATGGGAAGTGGCTTCGTGAGAGAGTCGGCAAGCTGATGGGCCGTTGGAATGTGGTGGACAGCAAGGGCCTTAGACTGGACGAGTTCACGAAGAAAATTAAAATCTAGGGCGGGATGCTTCATGCGGCTGTGATAGACCGGATTTGTCGAGAAGTTGACGGCGCCCAAGTTGTCGCAGTAGAGGGCTGGCGGATCGGCTGGTGGGTGATGAAGTTCACGGAGGAGATTTTGAATCCAGAGGACCTCGGCAGCGGCATGAGCTAAGGCACGATACTCCGCCTCAGTACTGGATCGAGCAACTGATCTTTGCTTTTTAGAGCGCCAGGAGATAAGGTTGTCGCCATAATGTACTAGGTAAGCCATCGTGGAGGTGCGGTCATTGGGGTCCCCTGCCCAATCAGAATCCGCGAAAGCAGTTAGCCGGGGAGACGTCGTGGGTGCTAAATGGAGCCCCATGGTAGACGTCCCTTTAAGTTAGCGAAGAAGACGCTTCACACACTGCCAGTGTAGCTGTGTCGGGGCATGCATAAACTGTGATAATTTGTTGACGGCGAAGGTGATGTCTGGGCGAGTGCATAGAAGATATTGCAGCGATCCTAGGGCCTGGCGATAGAGTGTAGCATCGGCCGGGGGTGTGCCATCGGTGAGCAAAAGCCGAGTGGTGGAGGCAAGGGGAGTTGGCGCATGCTGTGCATCGACCATGCCAAAACGAGCTAGTAGATCAGCCACATATTGATGTTGAGAGAGAACAAACCCAGCAACAGTTGGAAGTACTTCAATCCCAAGGAAATAATGAACCGTACCCAGCTGTTTGAGGGAAAAACGAGCCGCAAGGCGAGCTTGGAAACTAGCCAAAGTAGGGGCATGATTACCGGTGAGGAGAAGATCATCAACATAAACAAGAAAGTAGAGAAGAACCCCATTCTTGTTGTAGACGAAGAGAGAAGCATCGGACTTGGTCTTTACAAAACCTTCTTGCAATAGGAAGGAGCAGAGAGCCATGTACCAAGAGCGGGGAGCTTGGCGAAGGCCGTAGATAGCTCGAGACAAACAGCACACATGATCTGGATGATCGGGATCCACGAACCCAGGAGGCTGAGCCATATAAACTGTTTCCTGCAAATCACCTTGAAGAAAGGCGTTATTAACGTCAAACTGATAAATCGGCCATTGATGGGTGAGAGCAATGCTGAACACTGTACGAATAGTAACCGGTTTGAGAACCGGGCTATAGGTATCATGGAAATCAACTCCTGGACGCTGAGTAAACCCCTTGGCCACTAACCGGGCCTTAAACCTGTCGATCGCCCCATTCGGTTTGTACTTGATCCGAAAAATCCACCGACAGCCAACAATGTTCTGAAGAGAGGCACGGGGAACAAGAGTCCACGTGTAGTTCGATAATAAACCAGCAAATTCAGCCTTCATAGCTGCATTCCAACAAGGATCGGCAAGTGCCTGACGAAGAGAAGATGGCGTGATCGGGAGTGTCGATACCTGAGCGGAGAAGAGTCTCCGGGGTTTGAAGATGCCATGCTGACTGCGGGTGACAATGCGACGGGAGGGAAGAGCTGGCGCCTTAGCCGGAGCAGGCGGTGGGGGATGCGGCCATGAGGACGTAGCCTGGGGGGTGCTAACCGAGGCCTACGAAGGAGCTGCGAGCTGCTGGGAAGATGCCGGGCTGGAGGATGGTGGGGAGGACGGAGATGAGGAGGGTGGAGTAGGGAGAATGCGAAACTGATGGAGAGACGGAGTAGTGGTGGCGACCCAAGCATCGGGGGAAAGGGACAGCTCGGCAGATGGGGAAAGGCCAGGGAAGGAAGTCTCGGCGGACGGGGAAATGCCAGGGAAGGAGGTCTCTTCAAACTGTACATGGCGTGAGAAGTAGAGGCGGCGGGCAGCAGGGTCGTAACATTTGTAAGCACTCTGATTGGGGGAGTAACCCAAGAATATACAACGACGAGATCGGGGAGCCAATTTGTGTGGAGAATAAGGGCGAAGCCATGGATAGCACAGGCAGCCAAAGGTTCGCAATTTGAGGAAATTAGGTTGCTCGTTGAAGAGGGTATAGTATGGTGAGTCGCCACGTAAAGAAGATGATGATAGACGATTGATGAGGTAGGTGGCTGTTTGAAAAGCGTGTGACCAAAGAGAGAGAGGTAGGCGAGTAGTGTAGAGAAGAGCAAGGCCAGTTTCAACAACATGACGATGTTTACGTTCCGCCAACCCGTTATGTTGCGGAGTATGAGGAGGGGTGAGAAGATGAGTAATCCCACGGGATTGAAAGAACGAGCAGAGCTTTTGAAACTCACCCCCACCATCACTGAAAACGCGGCGGATCGTGGTATGGAAATAGTTTTCTATCATGGAAGTGAAAATGGTGAACACATTGTGCACATCAGATTTACGGGAGAGAGGATACAACCACGTGTAGCGGGAAAAATGATCAACAATGACTAAATAATATGAGAAATTGTCAACAGAGATAACAGGAGAAGGACCGCAAACATCCACAAATAACAAATCAAACGGTCTGTTTCTGTTTAAAGTAGAAGCAGAAAAGGGCAATTTATGACTTTTGTGGAGAGAACAGGATTCACACGACAAAGTGGATGAAAACCGAGTGACAGGAAGAGATTGTTTATGGAGCATACGAGAAAGGAGCTTGCTGTTTGGGTGACCAAGGCGGTTGTGCCAGGTAGTTGGAGTAGTCTTGGACGTTGTGAGAGCAAGACGAACCGGAGAGGCATCCAACGGCAGCTCGTAGACATCATCCTTATTCAGGCCGTGTAGCAGAGGCGCCCCCGTGGCTAGGTCCTTCACAACAAAAACATCAGAAAAGAATTCCACTGATACAGGATTAGTTTTGCAGAGTTGGGCAACAGAAAGCAGACGGCGTTTGATAGCGGGAACACATTATACATCACGCAATGATAAGGTACATGTGGAAGTAGAGAGAGTGGAAGAGCCAATATGGGATATCTGCAAACATGTCCCATCGCCGATGATAACCGAATCAGGCCCATTGTAATCCGTATATAGAGACAGATTGCCCAAGTCCGGCGTAACATGATTAGTAGCCGCCGAGTCAATCAACCAGCCAGCATTAGAAGAAGAGGGGAGTGAGGTATGATGAACCTGAGGGCGTCCCTGTAGACGAAAACAGTCCTTCGCTGTGTGACCCATTTTGTCACAAAACTGACATTGAGGTGTAGGCCGGCCAAGAAGAGAGGGCACGGCAGCGGTATGAGGCGAGCCATAAAAGCTGCGAGAAGGAGAAGCAGGGCGATAAGAAGACACCGGAGATTGATGGCGGCGAGGACTGCCTCGGCCACGAGGAGACGGGTGGCGAGAGGACTGACGGCCGCGGAATGAAGAGAACGCCGTAGTGGGAGCAGCCGCAGCAGAATGAGAGCGGGCATTGGCCAAATCAGCCTCATATTCAACGTGCAGATCCTCCAAGGCAATGGTTGTGTCACGGGCACGAAGAGCAGCAGCAATGGCCCCGAACTCTTCACGCAAACCGCGTAGAATATGAAGAACCATATCCTCATTGGAGACTGGTGCCTGGACGAGAGCCAATTCAGCAGCTGTGGCTCGCATGGCCTGCATATAAACTGAGATAGGACGGGCACCTTGGGATTCTTTCGCCAACGAGTCCTTCAGGTAAATGACACGAGAACGAGAGGGATTGGCATACATCCTCTCAAGAACAGTCCAGGCATCACGGGCAGTGATAGCGTGGGCTATATAGGCAGACACGCCAGGGGCGACAGAAGCATGGATGGCGTGCAGCAAGAGTTGGTCCTGGCGATACCACCGGCGACGAACCGAGGCTTCAGCAGTGGGGTCTGGCTGGGGATGAGACCCATCGAGAAACTTGAGGAGATCCAGCCCGCGAAGGAGGGTTTGAAGCTGAGCTCGCCATTGAGGAAAATTCTCACCAGTCAGTTTGGTGGGAAGTTGAGATGCAGGGTTTAAAGTGATGATAGTGGTCTCATCATTGATGTTAATCACTGATTCGCCAGACATAGCGGGCGCAGAGGGGAAGAAGAAAGAAAAATAGAGATGTAAGGGAGAGGGAGTCGCAGAATAAGAATGAGAACAAGAGGCAGAGAGAAGGCAAAGAGACGTGTGGTGTTTTAGATTTAGGTTAAGGGATCGAGCACATGCTCTGATACCATGTGGAGAATGGAATTGGTGATTTGTATTGACTAGAATTGGGAACACACGTAGCTATGAATTAGGAGCCACTAAACAACTATAACAACCCACTAAATACCAATAATGAAATAATTAATTGTTCTGCTTATCACTATATACATTGCAAGAAATAAATTGGACTTCATATATGTGTGTGATATATATGACAGTACGTAGGTACCTTTGTTGAGCGAATGCGGCTCAAGGAAAACTCCAGCTGATGCTCAAGCTGCTCCAGCTCCTTTGCGTTGAGTGATCCCACATCTTCCCCAAGGAGCTTCCTGCACCACAAAACAAAACCAGCATACAATCAATTTATATAATGTTCCACACACATTTCTATTGATTTGTTTTAGCTATATCTAGTTTGAATAAGTAGAGTTTACAATTTACATACAGGCGCAAATGAAATGAAGAATGATCACCTTTGAGAGTGCTGGAGGAGCTCCACCCTAGCCTTGACCTTCAGGTACTCTTGGTAGCTGCTCTGTTTGACGCGAATGAAACATATATATAATATAATATAATAAATTTGGAAGTTTCGAGAGCAGAAAGCTAGCCCAAGGGATATACAGACAGACAGTGGTGGGGATTTTACGTACGTACGTACCTGTGTCTCATGGAGAGGCCTATTGGCTTCCGTTGCTCCATAGCTGCATCTCTGGTACTTCTCAAGAGTCTTCACCATGCTATATATACACACATATATTTAAATACGATATATAAGTATATATAGGAGAAATGTCAGCAATGTTTACTAAGGAACAATGATTAAAATTGATGTTAGGCACCAGGAAGCTATAATCAGAGTATGAGCAATCCTAATCAACCAAACCCTACACCATGTAAGGGCAATCATAGTAAGACCACTATAGGAGATTTTGAGTTAGTGATACAAAAATAGACTGGAAAACAAGCATGTTAATTGATTGAAATAAGGACAGAAAATTGCACGTCGAGTGCGTATTAATTAATCAGTATAATGCTACCTAATCGATTAACTCCATGCTTTGGTAGCTATGAACACGAGCGATTTTATATCCCTCTTGTGGAACATATGGTGACATATGTACAAATTCATGTACATACATTATTCTATTTACTCGCTTCATAATTCTCATCACGAGCAAGCGATTTATATAAAAGAAAAATTGTTACTTACTGTATGATGGACTAGATGAATTTTGACCCCAAAAAAAATCAAATTTCATTAGGGTTCAACAATTTAGGGTTTCAATTTTAGAGTTAAGGGTTTAATATAAAATAATGCATATAGATTAGTTGGTATTCTATATTACATCATGTTATCACACTTATGCTATCAATTAGAATTCAAAATTTGATACTTTAAAGCTAATTTTAAAGTTTGGTAAACATATATTGTATGGAATTATTTGGTAGAGGCCATTCGAATTCTCTATCATTTTGAAAATAGGGAGTCAATAACATAGATGTCCAGTAAGAACAGTTAATACATACATCACATTTCTTTCCTTGCAGCTTAGCATAACAAGTGGTTAATCTTTTGACTTGGAAATTGAAGGTGAACTCTCAAAATCTGTAAGGGCACATTTTAAATAGTAAATTATTTATAATCCAACTTTAAGTTGCACATGTTTGTATGTTCAAATGAGCACATTTATTATACTTTAAAGTATTGGTTTTTTAAAATACTATTTGAAGTTGTACTATAACGACGTTAAAGGTACAAATTAAGTTGTACCGTAAATTTCAATTTGTACTTTTATGTATGGTACAACTTCAAATTGTATCATAATATGAATGTAAATTTTAGTTTATACCATAAACAGATTTATACAAAAGAGTACAGGTACCATAACACAAAAACTAAAGCATCAATGCTTTAAAGCATTGTAAAATTCTATCATTCTCTAACGTGCTTCTCTGAGATGTATGTGCGACTTAAATTAGAATTGGGAGGCAGGTGAGGATTCAATGAGAAAATTATAGAAGCGGATAGGTTAATAATCTCTATTTTAAACAGGATTAAAAACATTTTGTACTCCTCTATTATGATAATTTAACAAATGTACCCTCTACTAAATTTTTGCACAAATATACTATTCTAAAATTAAACTATAACAAATTTACTCTTCCATCCATTTCTGTGTTAAGTGCCTATTAAAATAGCTGTGAAATGACGCAATTCATTTGGTGTTAATAATTTTCCAGTTTCTCATATGCTTTGTGAAAGCCGGTATAAACCGACATGAAAACTGTTTGTATCTCGTCTGAACCATGCTTACATGCTACCCCGTCGTAACGGTATAAACCGGTTTAACAACCTTACTGTCAAGCAATCATGGTTGAAAGAGAGCAACGACTGTACTACCATATATTGAAGTGCATCAAGGACAAGTGTGATGCTGATGATGAAACCCAGTAACCAAAATGCAATCAGAGAAACTTCACAATCATATCATATGAAAAGGAACCAACCAAGCCAGAACGGCAGAACCCAAACGTAAATAAATACTAGCTAGTTTACTCTCTCTCTCTCTCTCTCTCTCTCTCTCTCTGTTCATTTTCCAATCACGCACACCACAAAGCCCAGCGGACTTATTTTGGTACTCTCTACGTACTGCAGAAAACTGGAAAACATCCCATCGTCTGCACCAAATCGTAACAGTACTACTAGTGTGTTAACCTTTCCTTATTGCTTTTAAGTCTCATTTTTCTTTCAATTTGTCAAATAAATAAAATGCACCTTCAATCAATTCAGATGTTTTTACTCTCCCCCTGCGCCCAGCAACACTAGTACTGCAGAATCATCCTATTATTCGTATCCGCAGGGTAAAAGAAAACCACCCATCAAAAGAATTGAATCCCATAATATGCATTCATTTAAATAATTGGGTTTCACCAACATGATAAATCAGCCAGTGATGAGTCGATATATGAAGAGATCATGATGATGATGATGAGGTAAAAGGAACAAGCAATCTAGACCCATCTATGTGTGCAAACAATTATGAACCTGGAGCCGGGTGATTTGAGTTAATTAATGAATCCAATTATCACAGACAGAACACAAAACAATTAATCAAAATCATAAGAAGTTTTTCCTTTTTTTTCTTTTTCTTAAACATCTGAAAACCCTAAACTTAGCTGCTCAAACCCACAGATCTTGCTTTCCAAACAGGGATCCAGAAGGCCAAATGCAAACTAGCGTCAGTGTGAATGATTAAGATGCATAGTTAGTAAGTGTTTTCCGGCGAAAATAATTTTAGGTGTAAATAGTAAGTAGCACTGGACCGACCTGGGCGTGCTGCAGAACTCGCAGAGCTTGCCGCGGTTGGAGAAGATGATGAGAGCCACCTCCGCATCACAAAGAAGAGAGAGCTCGTACGCCTTTTTCAGCAACCCGTTCCTCCTCTTGGCAAACGTCACCTGCCTGTTTACTTTGTTCTCTATCCTCTTCAGCTCTACTCTCCCTCTCCCCATCACCACTTCTCTTTCTGGTCTTGGTAAGGAGAGGGCAAGGCTTTTCTTTGGGAAGCCTGTGTGGCTGTAGCTTTTTAAGGGAGAAAGATGGGATGAGATGAGCAGGAGGATATATAGAAAGTGAGGAGAGGAGGGGAGGTTAGTAGTAGAGAGAGAGAAAAGTAAAAAGAGAGATGAAGATAAAACATTTCTATAACAAACAGTTATGTTTTACATTTCTGGTACTCTTATTATTATACTTCAATTTCTATGTATTGTTATTTTGGAGAGGAAATGGAAACCCTGGGACTGGGAGATTGTAATGGGGGACCTGCCTTACATTTCTATAACAAACATTATATGTTTTACATTTTTTGTACTCCCATTTTTTTACTACCTACGTATATATCAACATGGCCTATATTTATATACCTAGCTAGTTTTGGACTCTAGGAATTATAACCTGCTACTTCCTCCCCATTTTCTACCCTTTTTCCTTGGTTTACTAAATTGCTTTAACTCTTTTTTTTTTTAAACGGGGCGCTAGAGGGCACCCCACCTTTATTCATTGCTTATTAAACGAGGAGTTAATACTCCAGTATAATTAAAGTATAACCAGAAACTTAATATCGGACAAGGGAGCTCAACAAAATGGTCTCCGGGCGAACATTCATGTCCAAGTGAAGCTAAGTAATCTACAACGACATTCCCCTCTCGAAACACAATGATTTCCACCTGCCAATCGAGGGCTAGGAGGCGTCTCACTTCGGAAATTATTAGAGCCAAGTGTGGGTGTCGTTCCACTACTCCTCCAATAAGTCGGATACACTACAAGAAAAAATGTTGTCAATGATGTTTGGTTAAATAAAGGGGGGCACATCACTAACTTATTTCGATAGTAAGTGAAGGATCATGTGCTTGGCGGGACTTTTTACACTTTTTGGGTGAAGCGGGAAAATGAAAAGGCAAGCAGGAGCTTTTAATTTTTTCTGCTGAAATAAGATGCCCCAAAACAAAGATACACAATAACTAAAAAATCAGAACCCACAGTTTGTAATCAATCGAGGAAACCCTCCTTTCGTTCTCCCAACTCTCCATCCATGGAACTCGCTAGATTCCCTTTTCCCAAACATTAACGACATCTCCTTTACTTCAACTTTCCATCTATATTCGATTCCACCATCTCAATTAGAAGAAAAACTAAACACTATGAAGCAATACCTCGTCGAAGCAAACTGAGCTGAAGTTCTTCGTCTCGTCTGGCTCTTGAACCCTAATTTCCTCACAACAATAGTGTCAAGGTTAGATTCTTCATTCTCTTCAAATTAAAAACTAACACAAACTACTCTTCTTCCTTCTCAATGCTCACCCAATAACCTTATTGTTCGAGTCGTAGAATCTACTTCAGTGCTTCCTAAAGCCTTGCTGAAGGTGGTCATCCAAAGTCAAGTCTCAACTTTGATTTCCTATTTGCTTTTCACCCGGTCATTTAAAAGTATTGTTTTTCTCTTATCAATAGTATTGTTACTCCCAAAGACTTTGAGACATCGTCTGCTGAGTCCACCAATGATGCTGCATTGCAACATGCTCTAGATGAAACTGCAGGCCTCAGGGACCACGTACATATATTAGAGACTAAATTGGTGGGAATGAATCATGTAGAGGCTGAAATTGTAGAGGTGAAGGAAATGCTTTGAAATATAATGGGACAAATAACTCTATCCCCTAACCCTCTGCCTCAGAATTGAGATCAACAGGTACTTTTGTCAACAAGTTTGGATTTTGTTTCTTTATTTGCTCGCTTGTGAAATCTGGTTAGAAAATTAGTGAATGAAAAATGTAGAACTATGTTTCAGTTCTGGTATACTATAGTGATTTACGGCAGACTATTGAAGATCCAAGCAACCATTTATTCATATATGCACATATAGTTTACATTACAGGTTGAAAGATGGTTTTAGTTTTATTTGAGGATGTATTTGATTATTGGCTACTTGAACTAAGGTTTTAATTTGTTGCAGATTTTTCTACTCTGTTTTAGTTTCTGCCTTGCTAGAACTAACTAATCTTATGAGTGTTTTGCTTAGTTTATGAGTAGTATAATGGATTATGCTTCCTTTTTGTTCCTTTTGTTTATGAATAATTGAGCTTGTAGTGATGGGTAATCTAGTTCTAATCATACTATAGTATATCATTGTGGTTATATGATTTTCATCCAACACTATCAAGCATTATGGGAAGAAATTTTCATGGATTTCCTTGTCCTCTTTTTCAATTCTGAAATAGCTTAGACATTCTCTTGAATTGAGATAGTACAACATATAGTTACTTGATTGGCTATATATTTATTGGTCTTAATAACTGAGTGTCTCTTTCGTAGGAAATTGTTTTGCAGGATATGTACATAACTATTCATCGTGGCTTCAGCTGGTAGATTGGTCATATTTTTGCTCTACTTTACCCTTTCCACAGCTACAATGAAGGGATTTTGGAAACTTGAGTCATTCTATGGTAACTAGATAAAGTTAGCATTTTGAGTTTGCACAATCTTAGTTTAGAGATTGACAAATCTTATAGTAGAGATATGGCTGGTAAACCATCATCCTTTTATTTTGAGGAATTGACCTGCTTAACTCAACCAGGTTTATATATATATATATATAGTGCCTTCTACGGTACCCCGGTGAAATCAGGAGTACCGCATACCTTGAGTATGAGAACGCTATCCAGACCTCGAATTAGCAGGATTTTTGGGCATGGTACTATACCCTAACTCTTAATGAGTGAACCCTAGATCCTAATTATCTAAATCATACTCTATAAACCCTAAGATGGTGCATTGATTTTTTTGCCTATAATTGGACGAATCATAACCGTCGATTATTATTTCTAATTAAATTGATCTTGGGATATAAGCTTTATAGAATTAAGACCTATATTTTGATCTTTGATGGTTAGAGTTTAGTATCATGTCCGAAAGATCAGTCAATTCAAGTTTTGGATAGCGTTTTCTTAATCAAGGTATGCGGTACCCCGAATTTCACCTGGATACCGTAGAACTCCCCATATATATATATATATATATATATATATGTATGTATGTATGTATATGTATGTATATGTATTGCTCAAATTGAATGGTGGAAGAATTGCTACGTGGTTTTCAAAATTATGACCAAGAACTTAAAATGTATATATATGTGGTGATTAAGTAGCATGTCTAATGGTATTTTTAATAGTTCATAATGATGGTAGAATTGGTCATTGAAAATTATCAACGACGAAATAGTCCCATCATTAACAATACCTATGACGGATGTAAATCTGTCGTTGATAATTATCAACGACAAATATAGTGTTCGTCATTAACAAATATCTACGATGGATGTAATTTTGTCATTGAAATTTATCAACGGCGGATTTGAGTTTCCATCGTTGCTATTATTAACGACACACCCATTTCATGACGGAAAAATTCTGCCATTCAAACCTATCAACGATGGATTTTTGCTTAAAAGCGACGGATTTTTCTGTAGTTAGTGGCCCTTTTTCTTGTAGTGATAGATGTTTGGGAATCAGTCTGAACCTGCACCTGACGTAATCCCATCTCCCATGTTGTTTGCAAACCAAAAGCAATACCAGCCAATTCGGCCTTCGTAATTGATCCTACACTCAGGTTCCTAAAAAGTCTCTCAGCATTCTACCATCTTCCCTCCGTAGCACCCCTCATGCTGCTGCATTTCCCACCATCACAGAACCATATGTATTTAGACATGAACAACCAGGCGGGAAGGCTTCCAAGCAATCAAGCGATGGGTGAGAGCTTTTCGTCCGACGAATATCAACGCCAAATTCTCTGCAGTCTCCATAATATGTAGCTCCAACGTCACCACTCTACGAGATAGGGAACTAGTCGAATCCAACTCCTTTTCACACACATACTTGTTCAAGTTCTTCTAGAGCATCCAACACATCACAGCAAATCGGGTTGGTGTCACGATCAAGCTTTGACTAGCAAGGTAGTGCAAGATCCATAAACTCGCACGAACTACACTGGCCCATAAACTCCCCAGGTCTGCCATCAATCTCCATGCTATTTTGATCATGAATGCTTTATTCATTCTGGTCGCGTAACGGAGCCCAAGCCCTCCCTCTTCTATGGGGCAACATATTGTTTCCCAGTCAATCAAATCAACCTTTCTCCCCGACTTTGAGCTTCCCCAGATATATTCCCAAATTTTCTTGTCGATATAATCCCTTACACTTACCAGAAGGAAAGTGGTTTTCATGATGTAAGATGGCAGTGATGAGAGGACCGACTGAGCAAGGGTGATGCTGAAAGAAGTTATAGTCCCTTATCCTCATAATGGAAGATGTTATACACTGCATCGCAATGGCAATAAAGTCGCCCGGTATCCCTGCTGCCTTCAATGTATCTTGCACAAATATCCATTTGACTAATCATAGGCTTTGCCCAGGTCTATATAGTCCCTTATCCTCATACTCGAAGATGTTAGACCCTGCATCGCAATGGAAATAAAGTTGCCCGGTATCCCTACTGCCTCCAATGTATCTTGCACAAATGTCTATTTGATTCGGTCATAGTATTTAACCATATCTATTTTGATGATCATCCAGCCCTTTCTCCCTGTTTTAGCTCTCATAGAGTGAACCACTTCATGCAAAATGCAAATGTTGCCAATAATATGACGCCCAGGGACAAAACTTGTTTGAGTTTTGTCAACTAGACTAGGCATCAACGTTTTCAGTCTCTCTGTCAGGCATTTAGTGATAATCTTATACATTACATTGCACAAGCTGATAGGGAAATATTGCTCGATCAGTGAGGGGCGATTAACTCTACGTATTAGGACCAGGATTGTCTCATTCACCATCTTGACCTTTGTCAGTTCGTTCCAACAATCTTTTGAAAACTCAACCACATTAGCTCCCAATGTTAGGCAAAATATTTGGAAGAAGGTTGGATGCAAACCATCTGTTCCTGGCGCCTTGAGGGAACC